AGAAGGCGGGCCCCTGTTCTGGCAAACGCTCGCGCCTCCTTACTTCACGGCCGGCAAGAAAGCATCAAGTCACGCTCAAGGCTCAGCACTGTTTTGTGCAACGTCTTTCTCGGTGTCTCGTTAATTACTATGTGCACAAGCTTCAAGCTTCGCCTGCGGCTTCGAAACGAACGCACCACGGAAGGGCTGAGGGGAAATTTGTTAGCCCTCCGCATGCCATGCTAGGTCTCAGGCGAGTTCTGTATGCAAAAGCGGTCAAATGGGTCAATTGGAGCCGATTCGGGACTCGCATCTGTGCAATCTACTCCGGCTTCTGCGCAATGATTTGCCAACTGGTGGTGAACAGCCCCATCTTGTCAGCCTCAACAAAGGCCTCGCCATCCTTCGTAAGCCGATCAAAGAGGGTCAGGAAGTGGGACGGCAATAATCGCACTGCCGTCAGGGCTTTCAAGCCATAGCGTGCTGAAGTGAAGTATGACTCCGCCTTCTCAATCAAGGGGTACTGATGCCCGCCAACGCTCGCCTCTTCATTCATCAGGATCTTGAAGCCTGCCGTCTCCAAGGGATCGGTGAAGTCTGAGGGCTTTGGCGTCCAAACGGCGCCAAGCACTGGTTTCACCTTCCGCAGCAGATCGTCATGCTTCGGGTCAGACGGGTTGAAGGCTGGCAGCTGCACATAGTCCAAGAAGGACAGCTTGGCGCCGGGCTTCAGCACCCGGAACATCTCCTTGAACAGCTTCTCGGGGTCGATCGCGTACGTGAGGACTTGCACCTGGTACAGGGCATCGAAGGTGGCATCCGCAAAGGGCAACGGATCGTTGTAGTTGCCATGCACAAATGTCAGTCGCTTGTCCATGCCGGTCACGTTGGCATGCTCTTTGGCCATCTCCAACTGAGTCCGGTCAATGTTCAGGCCCGTCACATCAGCCCCTGAGTAGCTTGCCATGTGGTGGGCCACCCGGCCACGCCCGCACCCAACATCAAGGACTTTGGAGCCTGGACCGATGTTCAGTCGGTCTGCCATCCCTCTCTCTTCCCATAGCAGCTGATTCTTGAAGATGCCCACGCTTGGATCTATCACTGGCGGAATGTACATCTTCTCCACATCACCAACTGCGCACAGGTGGTTCAGGACCTTGTAGTAGTTCACGGTGCTCTGTGCCTCGTTGTTGCCTCCAGTCACCTGCTCTTGACTGAAGAGCTTGTAGGAGTCCAGGAAATCCGTGACATCCTGTTCGGGCAAGGTGTAGATAGCTCGGAGGGCTTTGAGGGCTGTTGACACCCGATACCACGCCAATTCCCGATCTACGCCCAGGCCGTTCAGAGCGAGAACGGCCACCACCGGCGATAGCAGCAAGAGGGACCGCGCCATGCACAGTAGCCGAAATCGGAGCACTGCCGCCCACTTGAGCAAAAGCTGCCATGCAACGCATTCGAAAGGATATGCAAAACCGTGGTGCATATGCAGGGGCGAGTGTGTGCGTGTGCAAGTGAGTCAAGGAAGAAGGCGGCCCCTGTCCTAAGCAAACGCTCGCGCCTCCTTATTTCATGCCTGCTTGGGCTGAGACAGGACTCGCTAAGCGAGAACCTGGCCTCTCTCGCCCTGTACTTGGCAAGTGTCATTCAGATTGATTAAAAAATACGCCAAACGCATGGCAGGAGCTGGTCTTGCCCAAATTCTGCACTGAGCTGGATACCAGTTCCACGGACACCCTATCGAGCAACCAACACCTAGATCGGCTAAGGGAAAACATTCATTCATTGCTCAACCAATACATATTACTAGTAATAGTAACACTGGCGGTCGCATTACCAGCAATGGTGGTGGTGGTGCTGGTAGTTGTGCTGGTGGTGGTGCTGGCAGTGGTGCTGGCAGTGATGCTGGTAGCGTAATAGTAGTAGTAGCAGCAGCAGCAGCAGCAGCAGTAGTAGTAGTAGTAATAGTACTAGTAGTAGCAGCTGCAGTAGTAGTAGCAATAGCCGTAGGCAGTTTACAAGGAACCCCATGGCACGGCAACCAACTGCAAGGTCGCTGACAGCAGAGAAGACAAGAGTAAGCAAGCGCGAAAAAGAACCTCGTGCGTGTGGTGTGTGTGGCGAAGGGGCTAGAAATTTCTCAAAAGCGCAGCCCTCTGCAGGTGTCAGCTTCTTCGGGCGCTCAAAAGATACCGTTGCGCAGGATATGCTGAGACGATCGAAGGATCTCTGCGCAGGATGTCTGGTCAGAGCCTCTTGGCCCTTTGTAGGCAACTTCGCTTCTCAAGATCTGCAGGGCGCATCCTCTGCAAGATCAATGCAGGGACCTCTTATCAACTCGTGCGCAAGACCGGCGCAAGAAATCTCTTGCAAGGGAGTCTTTGCGAGTCCTGCGCTTCGATGTTTACAATTTGCGGCGTGCCGCTGCGAGAGCGATCCGAGCCACATTCAACCCGCAAAGGGTTTACTTTCGATGTTCAAAAATCGCACCGCGCCACAATGAACGATCCAAGCTTGTGACGAGCCATCGTCCCGGGATGCTGCAGAGCGATTGCCAGCATGCCGGGATCAGGGCCATCAGCGTCAGTGCGAGGTCCAGTGCTTCTGCAGCACGCTCGGTAAGTCGGGCATGCGCAGCTCGCGCAAAAAGAAGAATCTTGGGACCAGCGCGCGCTAGCGGACAAGGGCCATGCATATGAAGTCCATGCAACGGCCTCAGAAGCCTATGTGCAAACATTCTCACTGACTGCCTGCTCCTTCCTGTGATCTGGGATATACTTTATTGATCCTGAAATATGGTTCTTGATCCATCCTCAGCAAAATGTGTTTGACGAAGCCTGCACTGAGCTGTATACTAATTCAATCCGCACACCCTGTCCACCAACCAACACATAAATCGTTCAGTCTCCCAGCTCAAGTTCAAGCATGTGACGGTAGCAGGCTCACAATGGCAAACTGGAGCCTAACAAATGAACAAATGCTCAACAAGAAGGCCCTTCAGCGCGGCGGCTGTCATCCAGCTAAATCTAGGAGAACCTCCCTGCCATCCTGAAAGGAATGGGCAGCATGCGCTCTCTGGCGATTGCCCGAAGCTGCAGCCGAGCCTTCTTCTTGCCTCGGCCTCGTGGACGCCTGGCTGCCCCTCCCATGCCCGCAAGACCGTTCCAGCCCCCAGTCCGACCCCCGGCGCCCTCCTGCGGCGCCGAGGATCTGTGACTTCCAAATTGACCTTCTGCGGCTCCGCCTCCGTGTCTACTTCTGGCCGCCTTGGGCGCCACAGCGTGCTGAGCATAGTCAAGGTCTCTGCTTCCAAGGAGCTCAGAATCTGCCTTGAGATTGTCCACCCAAGCCTCACAAAGAGTCAGACCACCTTACACCTTCTGATCTGGATGGCAAACTGCCACAAACCTCGCCATGACTGACATCAAAATTTCTGGCCAAGGCCAAATGAATCGAAATGAGCCTGGGCAACCAGCATGGCAATCCGTCAATGGGCGAACCCCTGAGTGCAAATTCCCTGAATCCTCTCAAGTCATAAGCGATGGTGGCATGGTCGCACGAATGTTGTGAAAACCATACTCCAAATAGACTTGCCTGAGCCGTGCCCAAATAAGATTCTAGAGCTGAGGTGGGATGCAAGGAGGAGTAACACGAGATCTGCGAAATAGCTCTGAATGTAAACACCTAGTCTTTGCCACAAGTTGTGAGGTGCAGCAGCTTGTCTGCTGCAGGAAGTCGGAGACTGAAAGCTTCCCAAGGACATATAGGAACGTGTGACCGTTTGACATTCATGTTTGGCTGCATCACGCTCACCCGTCTTGAGCAATTAGCTATGTCTTCTCAATGTCTCGCCAACTGATATTTGTTGTCGAAGCGCCTCTGAACTGCCCATCTCGCTTGCTTGCCCTGTGGGACAGCCCCACAAGTCGACTGGCCGACACCTGAATCACATGCCCACCTCTTGGGAATTCAGAGCACTCTCAAAAGTTCCAGGCATTCCTTTCCTGGATCATCAGCAATATCACCTATCATCACGCATTCCTCTCTCTACTTCATTGCCTATAGGATTCAAAAGTGAGGTTGGGCCCTGGTGGTGTTGCTGGTGATGCAACAAGAGTGCGTGTGCTTCGTCTCAGCTATTAATGTTTGAGTGGGATTTGTGGTTGAATTTTTCCGCCCCCACTGTCCTGCAAGGAACCTTGACGAATCAACGTTTGCTCTCCAGCCCGCCCAAAATTTGACAAAACTCTGTCAAACTAAAAAGTTCTCAGTTAGTTGGGGCGGTTGGGGTCGGCAGCCCTGAGACAATTTTGTGAATTGAATGCGAAGATGGTCAGTCGCTTGCAACGGCGGTGATGTGCCTGAGAATCGTGAGAGGCCACATCCGGAGGCCAAGCAACGGGCTCGTTGTTGTCAAGGTCTTCTGCCGCCTTCTTTCTGCGGCGTCGCCGCCGCCGCTTCGGAGCCTCGGCTGACAGGCTCACGCGAAGCGATGCCCGCCGTTTGGCCAGGCAGCTCCGCTTGCTTCCACCTGCAGCCAACGCGCAGCCGGCCAAATCACACCCACAGCCGGCCTCTGAATCGCTGTGCTCCTTTGCGCAGAGAACTCTTGGATCTCCGGCCTGACGCCGTGCACATATGAGCAGTCCCTAGCCGGGATCAACCTCAACCTCTCCTCGCAAGAGCGCAAAGGCTGCAACTCCTCTGACTCCTCGAACACATCTGCCCAGGTCTTCCTGACACGTGGGACATGGGCAAACCCGGTCACCATATGCAGCTTTGCTGCCCATGAGTCAGCTTCAGCGGGCCGCCAACCATCTCCCATGCTAGCCTGAGGGGCATAGGGACGCGAAAGGCTTGAAGAAATCAAAAGGGCCACCCGCGCCAAGACAAAACTTTTGGCGCCAGTGACGTCAAACAATCAGTGCTCACAGCGTCAAACCTCCAAATGCGGGCTGACAAGTCAAGGCAAGTATGTTGAATTCGAATTTTCAAAAGCCAGGCCAGATTGCAAAATATTTTTTGGAGAAAACACTTTTGCCACCGACATCCGCTTCACATTGTCTTCATCCGGGGAAAGTCGGCTCTATCGCATAAGTTGCCCTTCCAATTCAGTGTCATTGCCGGTTCGATCTGCACCCGCTTCACATTGCCTTTTTGGGCACCATTTTGTCAATGATGCACTACTTTCTCATGTGCGTAGCTTGTACTATTACTGCTGGCCTTGAGGTCAGTTCATGAGTACAGAGCCCACTGGAAAAGGTGCACTGCAGACACTAAAGTCACTAATCTCTTAGCCACATAGGCTCCTTTGCATTTCCGCTTCACATCGCACTAAGCCACTAGGCCACTACGCCATGGATCGTTTTGCGGGTCTTTCAACTACAGCCCCCTGGGATGTAGTTTTAGCGCTGCAAAGCTCAGAAAACACTGCGAATACCATGGTTTCGTGCATGTGGCGGTCTGAGCATCCATCTGGTCAAAAAAACAAAACACTCAAGAAAAACAAAAAATATGGGAAGTCTTCTGCCATCTGGTCAAAAAAAACTCGAGACAACCGAGAAACAAAAAATAAAAATAAAAAAATATCTGGGAAGTCTTCCGCCAGGGGTCGTCTCCAAAGAGTGTCTGAAAATTGGTTATTTTGTTGTTGTTTTGTTGGTTTTTTGGTTTTCTCGAGGTTTTTTTGGTTCTCTGTCGTTTCTCTTGGCTTCCTTTGCTTTGTGTGTGTTAAGGACTCCCTAGCTCCAGTCTCACATGTGGATGTGAAAACAACTTGTCCGTTCCGCAGTGTTGAATTCACACTCCTTGGCCTCAACATCAACTCGCGTAGTTATGGCAAGTGTGGGCTTTGTGGAAAGTTTGCGGCGCCAACTCGGTGAATGAGATGCTGCCCTGTCCTTTGAGGAAGCCAGAATTATCTTACCCTTGGAGTTGTATTCCCCTGGTATTCCCCTAATAGTCCTTATTTCTCTAGCATTCCCTGACCCCTAGAGTTGTATTCCTCCAGTATTCCCCTAATATTGTTCAGTAATCCTTAGTATTTTCTTGGTATGCCCCTAGTATTCTCCAAATACCCCCCTAGTATTCTCCAGCATTCCCCTTTGTACTTCCCCTAGTATCCTGCAGTTGCTCTCCAGCTTCTGAGTAGCAAAGAACTAGGGAAACACCAAGGGGATAATAAGGGAATACCAGGGGAATAACACTAGGAAATGCTTGAAGAATACTAGGGGAATACTGGGAGATAATACTACAAAAATAACCAAGAAAATACTAAGGAATGCTGGGGATACTGGAAGAATATTGGGGGAATGCTAGGGGCATTCCAAGAAAATACTACTGAGGAATACTACGACAATACTGGGGGAATACTCGGAGCGTACAACTACTAGGGGCAAGAGAATGCTGGAGGAATAGAGAATGCTAAGGGGAATGCTTGGGGAATATTGAAGGAATACTAGGGAAGTATTGTGAATATTGGGAACATACTAGGGGAATATTGAGGAATATTGAAGGAATACTGGGGAGTGCTGAGAGGACACTAGGGGCAAGAGAATACTAAAGGAATATGGCAAGGATGGTGGAATATTAAACGAACAATGAGGAATTGTCAGGGAATTCTCAGGGAATAGAAAGGGAATGCTATATAATGGAACGCTGAGAGCACACGCAAGAAGTCCGCCGACCCCTTCTCCTCAAAGGGGGGGGGCACGGGAAGGGTGGTTACAGCACAAGTCCAAGGTTGGTTGGTAAATGAGCATAGCCGAAGATTCAACATTATCAGCGTAAGCAATACCGTCATCGTAGCATCCTTTGCACCTCAAAGACGTGTCTTTTTCGTCATCATGATCATTATTGTCGTCATCCGTGTCTTTTTCGTGTGCGTTTCAAGTGTCCTGTTAGAGCCAGACATCATGCCCGTGAGGAGGGACTTGCATTCGCAGTCTGTTCTGGACTAGCCATTACGCTCTTTGCTGCCACTACCGCCGCCGTCGAGGATGATGCTGATGATGATGATGATGTCGATGGTGACCACCATCATGGTGATGGTGACATGCTCATCATCATCACATCATCATCGTTGTGACCTGATTGGAGATGCAAAGGATGCGTAGACATGATTATCATCATGACTGTTGGTGATGCAGAGGACGCACGATGATGGTTATCATCGATGATGATAACGGTAATGATGACGATGACGATGACGAGGATGATGCTGATGATGATGATGATGATGACACGCTTGTCATTATATCAAACATCATCGTTGTCGTCTTTATCTTTTTTACATACGTTTCAAGGGTAGCGTTAGAGCCGATTGGAGATGCAGAGGGTGCGTAGTGATGATTATCATCATGATTGTTGGTGATGCAGAGGATGCACGATGATGGTTATCGTCCATGATGACAACGGTGATGATAACGATGATGACGATGATGATGATGAGGATGATGATGATGATGATAATGACCACCACCATGGTGATGATGACATGCTCATCATCATCACCTCATCATCGTTGTGACCTGATTGGAGATGCAGAGGATGCGTAGACATGATGTTGTCGTCCTTATCTTTTTTACATACTTTTCAAGGGTAGCGTTAGAGCCGATTGGAGATGCAGAGGGTGCGTAGTCATGATTATCATCATGACTGTTGGTGATGCAGAGGATGCACAATGATGGTTATCGTCCATGATGACAACGGTGATGATGACGATGACGATGATGATGATGATGCTGCTGATGATGACGATGATGATGATGACGATGATGACCACCATCATGGTGATGATGACATGCTCATCATCATCACATCATCATCGTTGTGACCTGATTGGAGATGTAGAGGATGCGTAGACATGATTATCATCATGACTGCTGGTGATGCAGAGGATGCACGATGATGGTTATCATCCATGATGACGGTGATGGTAACGATGACGATGATGATGATGATGCGGCCCCGACTTGCGGCGAGAAAACTGGTTGGCTTGCGGGGTGACCGGCGATGAGCCTCCACTGCAAACGCAACGTCACGGCACATGCTCCCAGCAGCAGCAGAATTGTAGGCACTTACAGCGGCGCATTTTCTTACCAGATTCTTACCAAAATGCACCAAGCCAAGGAAAGAAAACGATCGCTCCAGAATGGGCGCAGGTTCTATGGAAGCGTGCCAATCATAGCGTATTATCACGATGACTGCTGGTGATGCTGAGGAATTATCATGCCAGTTCATCATCATCATCATCATCATCATCATCATCATCATCACGGTGCTAATGATGATCATCATCATCAGTCACATTAGAGCCGATCTGAGATGCAGAAGATGCGTGGACATTATTATCATGATGACTGCTGGTGATGCTGAGGATGCGTCATGATGATCATCATGTCAGTTCATCATCATCATCATCATCATCATCATAAAAGCGGTGCATTTTCACGCGAAAGCAAAGCAAAAATGCACCGCACCCTGGCTACAATAGGGGACCCATCGCGGCCCCGACTTGCGGCGAGAAAGCTGGCTTGCGGGGTGACCGGCGATGAGCCTCTACTGCAAACGCAACGTCACGGCACATGCTCCCAGCAGCAGCAGAATTGTAGGCACTTACAGCGGCGCATTTTCTTACCAGATTCTTACAAAAATGCACCAAGCCAAGGAAAGAAAACGATCGCTCCAGAATGGGCGCAGGTTCTATGGAAGCGTGCCAATCAAAGCGCATTATCACGATGACTGCTGGTGATGTTGAGGATGCGTCATGATGATTATCATGCCAGTTCATCATCATCATCATCATCATCATCATCATCACGGCGCTAATGATGATCATCATCGTCAGTCCCATTAGAGCCGATTTGAGATGCAGAAGATGCGTGGACATTATTATCATGATGACTGCTGGTGATGCTGAGGATGCGTCATGGTGATTATCATGTCAGTTCATCATCATCATCATCATCATCATCATAAAAGCGGTGCATTTTCACGCGAAAGCAAAGCAACAATGCACCGCACCCTGGCTACAATAGGGGACCCATCGCGGCCCCATTTTGAAGCGGCCCCGTTCATTTCAGCCATTCCCGAACTGGTTTGGGGTCGGTAAATGAGCATAGCCGAAGATTCAACATCATCAGCGTAAGCAATACCGTCATCGTAGCATCCTTTGCACCTCAAAGACGTGTCTTTTTCATCATCATGATCATTATTGTCGTCATCCGTGTCTTTTTCGTGCGCGTTTCAAGTGTCCTGTTAGAGCCAGACATCATGCCCGTGAGGAGGGACTTGCATTCGCAGTCTGTTCTGGACTAGCCATTACGCTCTTTGCTGCCACTACCGCCGCTGCTGGCTGGCGTCGAGGATGATGCTCATGATGATGATGATGATGATGTTGATGGTGACCACCATCATGGTGATGATGACATGCTCATCATCATCACATCATCATCGTTGTGACCTGATTGGAGATGCAGAGGATGCGTAGACATGATTATCATCATGACTGTTGGTGACGCAGAGGACGCACGATGATGGTTACTGATTGGAGATGCAGAGGATGCGTAGACATGATGTTGTCGTCCTTATCTTTTTTATATACGTTTCAAGGGTAGCGTTAGAGCCGATTGGAGATGCAGAGGGTGCGTAGTCATGATTATCATCATGAATGTTGGTGATGCAGAGCATGCACGATGATGGTTATCGTCCATGATGACAACGGTGATGATGACGATGACGATGATGATGATGATGATGCTGCTGATGATGACGATGATGATGATGACGATGATGACCACCATCATGCATGGTGATGATGACATGCTCATC